AATATACAATTAGGGACCGTTCATTATTTATTGGTTAATTATAAGTTGGCAAAATTCTAAAAGCTCACTCACACTCACTGAGTGTGCCAAAGCGATCACGTTCTTGCTGATCAATGATAGAGTCCTTCCTCAATCACTGATGGTCTATATCGGTATAGAATGTATTGTACACATTATTCTTCATATTCTACAATGCATGGTTTAGTTAAATTTTATAGCTGACAGACAGCCATAAATTTTTTTACCCAACCCATGAGCATGATGAGCTAGTCAAAAACTTGATTACCCAACCCATATCTCTTCGGTACCAACCCCGGGTATAAATAATGAACGGTCTCTTATTATGGATGATCAAAAATCCATTCTATTTCCAATAAAGATCCATGCAATTTCCATTCTATGGATTTTCAACATTTTTTCCAGTGAATGCAAGTCAAACGTATAAACTCGTAAATATCTAACGAAAATTAACTTTTCTAGGACTGGCTGTGGAAATTCATCGATGTATGGTAGATAGAGCAGCCGAGTGAAACATGAAAACATCATTTCTTTTTTTAGACTGTGAACTTGTAATGTATATGTTACATGAATATATAATTGTCATGAGTGACTCCCCCAGTACATTGTAAAACCTATAAAAACTGTACAAAATGACTTGGGATTTCACTTCGTTACAGACAAAATGACTTCAGTGTGACTTGAGAAGAAATGACTTGTGTCTTGACTCGAACAAAATGACTTGTCTTTTGATTTGACCTATTTTGGACTTGAGACATTTTAACCACTCTGCATTCTGTTAGTTATACACATACGAGAAAAGTACATGCTTCTAGTTTGCCTGTACCAAGTCCAGCGGTAATACAGGAATAATAACCGGACCTCTATAGGGAGAGCATATGACATAACGAACAGTCCCATGATAGTCTAGCTCGCCATCGAGTATATAAATAACGGTAGTTCAGTCAATTTGGTTGAGGTTAAAATGGTGTTACTATATTCGGTGTTATTATACTTAAATTTGTACCATGCAATCGTTTACCACATTTCAATTTAGAGTCAGACAGTCTAACTTTCCTCCTATTACCAAACCACCATATAATTTCCCACACATTCATTAAAGCACTGCTTTAATTACTTTTGTGATTTTCATAGTATATATATATATTAACACATATGGTGGCAAATTAACGTCTAATTACTAGTAAGTTAGTAAGCAAGTATGTCTGATCACAGGCACAGCTACGGTGGGAGGGTCCGTTAGGGGCCAACCCACCCTGTCAACATTCCCTGTGGGAAGAAACTGGAGTACCCAGAGAAAACCCACGACTTTCGCTAGAGCGTTGACCGAGAATCAAACCCACGATCTCAGAGGTGAAACTGTGAAAGGCGATCTTCAGTCTGACCATGACCAGTGGGCTGAAATTTTGGCGAGAAGATCGCGATCTTGTAGTTCAAGAAGATTATTATTCATGCTGCTTGTACAATCTTTCATTCGTAATTATACTGTAATCTGTCATCCAACCAATGACCAGCTGAGTAACTATACAATTTTTTTTATAAAATATCAGACAAATTCATAAATAGATTTAAAAGATTACTGCATGTGGCTTATCTAGAAGGTTTTATTTTAATCTACAGAAAAACAAACACTATTACCAGGCAACAGTTTCATGCCAACATAATTATATACCTAACATAGACAGTACTAGTAGCATTCAGACAATATATCATGCAAGTTGATGCAACGAACTATAGAATATACTAAAATCAACAACAAGAAATCATCAAACACTTTACTTATGAAATTTACGGTTCGAAGACCCACAAAAAGTGTTTTTGTGAGAAACTTTTAGATTAAACACCAGCAGTCTTTTGAACAAAGCCTTGATCCTAAATTAGCTGCTTAACATAGTACAGTGGTAAACGAGGATTCTGATGTGGACTCATGAAGACCTGGAACAGCAGAATAATTTCATCACTCCTGCCACAAGGTCTATAGTTGCATGTTTTGCATGCAGGGACGTAGCGAAGCATCTGAAGTTGGGGGAGGGGGGGGGGGGGGGGGGTGTTGGAGGATTTTACCGGAAACTTGAACTTCAATGTTAAAAATTTACCTGAAGTGTAATAATTATAATAGAGCTTTTTCTCATTGATTTCCACTATCATACTAAGTTTGCGAAGAAAGGGGGTCTGGGTGCCCTCCCCCTGAAAATGTTTACATTTTTAAAGCTCCAGGACTGCATTTCTGGCGTTTTCTAAAGCAAATTCGCAAACGAATTGAATATAAATTGATTGTATTTTACAAAAATGGTTATCATTTCACAAAGATAACGACTTTATTACGCAAATTTAACCTGAAAATGTCAAAATTTAAATTTGAATTTTACCTGATTTTTACCCTAGTTTCACCCCCCCCCCCCACCCCACCCCCGGTCGCTACGTCCCTGTTCGCATGGTTACATAGGTGTAATAAATGTCAAAACTCAAAATCTCCATCAACAAAATCCGGCTTCGGCAAGCACCGTCGCGCACAGCAGATGGTGTCCAACTTACAATTAGTAGAGTTACGTACTTAAAATGATGGCAGTCCTAACGTCTTGGGGGCAGGCCTATAGAGATGGCGGTTACTGAAACCAACCCATACTCATAGTCCGTTCTAGACTTCACTTCTAGAGTCCAATCTTTGCTGTAACTCAATTGTAGTTGAATTTGACTAGAACGTATGCATTTAACCTATTGTATTCATAGGACTAATGCGAGATCACGGGTGTTGATTAAATCTTATAGATTGAGAAACGAAATCTGTCGAGGCACCACAATCAAACCCGTACTCTTTCTGCACTTTTGAAAATCAGAAACGCCTGCAATCGTTTGCAGTAATGACAGAGAGAGGGCAAATTGCCCAACTTAGCAAGGATAGTTATCGCAAGCCACAAACCTTGCGCTATATTTGTGATATATTTATATATTCATGTGGTGTCTTGGGGTTATTATTTTGCTTTAGCACCCCATGCTTAACCAAAATAACAGTATATATTATATATATGGCATCAATGTTGCCTAATTCACGCACGTGACCTTTTCTAACAACTAATGTACCCAATATTAGTTTCCCATTCAAGTTCCTAAGCATTTCGGATATATGCAAGACAATTTAGGCTTTAGCAGACACTTAGACACCCGATCAGTTGAATTAATTGTGGTAATTAATTTTCCAATATAAACACAAGACCTGTTCGCGTTTGTTTTGTCTTTACGCTACTATTATTAGCTCAATTATCGTCAAATAGGCCGTCATGGGGCCTAGAAGTTTCCTCATATAGACGAAAACTGATCAAATATTTTCAAATAACATCGGAACGCGCTGGCCGACGAACAATCGTTTGACGCACTTCTATTCATTCAATGTTCCTAGATCTTATGATTCTAATTGCTTCTATATGATTCTAATTGTTTAAAACTATAACTAATTGCAACAACAATTTTTTAGAATCATTCGTGGTCTCTTCCATACGGAGTAAAACGTAAAATCGTCTGGTGTTTTGATAGTATAAAAAGAATAAAATAGTAAAGTATGATAGTTCTTCTATAACGCCACATCGCAGTATAAACGTCTGATTCAATCAAACAAGCAAAGATTCTAATTTCAAGCAACGGCAAAGATTCTAATTTCAGATTTGATTTGTAGATCGTTTGAAATAAATTTGTGCTACCTAAAAGTTAATGCTTTCAGTTTATTAACTCAACTCTCTGTCTATAAAGAAGGCCATTACTAGCTGACAACTTAGATTTGCTAAACCAGAATCTTAACCAAGACTATCAAATCGAGACTAACTAAATTTACTACACTTGATTCAAAAACTTATGCCTTATTTTGCGAAAAAAAATCTCACCATATAGGCTATATAAAAGTCCACGTGCATAACATTTTATGGTAGCAAAAACCCCGGGCGAAATACTGAGCCCGTCTGAAACGGAGTTTACGATATTACATGAAACTATTCGTTGATAAATGTCCAAACCCCTCCAGTCAATTAGTCAAATTCCAATTGCCACCAATTGCACGAAATCTAGTTAACCCTTTCAAACTTCAGTCCAGTTTATATGACTATAGAAGGTTAAGAGACCATAAACTCATAATCGTCAAATATAAAACCCTTCTAAAACTGTAATTATTTGTCTATATATGAACCCAAGTGGCTTAGGAACGGATTTCACCAAATATTAGGCCCTAGAAACCATATATGCCAGTGTAACGTGTGAAAGTATTAGAGAAATGTGGCACTCAGAATTAGACGGCAACCAGACATAACACGTTAGCACCAAATGATATCAAAATTATTAATGATCTATAGTCACAGATTAAAGATCAGACAAAATGTAACTGTTGTTAGTTTGATCATATGCTCACCATAACCTTAACAAAAAGGGTTGAAGTTAATTACCTCGTGTTTCGTCAATGACAGAAATCGCACAAATGTAACGGCATAAACCTTTGTCCTATATCCTAATACTCGATACTGTATTTAATCTTTCACCACAATCACAATTTACACACAAAAGCATTACACATTCAGCCTTAACTTTGTCTACAGTTCTATTAAGCCTAAGGCTATACCTACATTTACTATAGGCTTGCTATACAACAGTATTATACAACAACCAAGGGTATTGAATTTACAAAATATATATGGAGGTTAACAGATTCCATGCAGCGGACTTTACAATCAATGCAGATTAATAAAAAGTATTGGCATAACACATTAATGTGTAACATTATCAAACGTACGTTTGATATGCATAATTTTATTGCAAAGTATATTGCATGTGCTTTTGTACTATTGAGGATAACACAATTTACAAAACATATACAGTAAGTTAAAAATTCCAGTGAATATATGCAGTCTAATAAAGAGTCATGTGCATACTATACAATGTGTTATCAAACATAAGACAATACCATTTAGATCCATAACTTTAACACAAAGAATATTGCACTTACTTCTGACAGATTTGTTCCCATTGATAACACCAGCCACGACTATTACCGATAAAATAACAATTCCCAGACGCTTGTCCATGACTTAACACTGTTGTACACCAAATCTCCAAGCCAGAGAGCGATGGTTAGATTAAGATCTCAATTCTCTTGGTACAAAAGGTCACTTGACACCAAAGCAGACTTTCAGTGACTTCAAACAAAATGTACGCTATTTAATATGACGACTTGATGGTTCCACTGTTCGCAGCAAATGAGATGTGACCGCGAGTGCTACATCACCCCAAAAGTGTTTTGTTTTTAATATTATCCCAAAAAGGCCAAAGCAATTTAATATATTTTCATGCAATCAAGTGACAATGTCACACATTAAGTTGTCAACCACGGCTTGACAACAGTGAATATCCAGCAGTAACCTCTGACTGGTGCTAATTTTGTTATAATAAATACGCTTCGTTGGTGTCCATTTAACTAAAAAAAGAACGATCTTCCTTTCGTGAAGAGGAAAACAGTTGAATCAAGTTGATCGTGGGTTGGTCAAGACGGACAGATTTCAAGTGTTTTTAATATCAAGTGTAAAAGGATATATTGATTCATATGGGCATATGTTAATCTAACTGATCAAACAACGACGTGGGATTCTTTTTGTCTATGTATTAGCGTAGTCATGCATGAGGTCGCAAGCGCGTAGGCAGGGTAACACATCGGTAAGGTCGGAGCTTGGAAACATATACAACAACCCGAGGGTCATTGCTAAAGGCGATAGGGAAGTTTTCAATACGGCGAATATTTTTCAAGATCGTTAAAACGTGCAAAACCTCAACAAGGCACTTATATAACAATCTTAAACCTTACTCCAAACCTTACCCTAAACCTAACCCCAGACCACGGGACTATTGGTCCCAGAAAATATTTTGAGTTCCCAGAAAATATTCCCCCAAGAATGAAAGGAGAAATTCTAACCAATAGAAAGAACATATACCTGTACTGCAGGGCTGTATGATCTCAGAAATGCAATTATAAGTGCATCCATCTTAATAGTGCCGATAGTGTATTGATGTATAGACTACAGAATGATGCAACAAATGTTGTATGGCAAATGCAATTTTAGGCAATCTGGAACACCTGATTTTTAAATCCCCCCCTAGTAGTGCCCTTTTTTGTATTTGTAAATTTACCTTGTGATCCGACTCCTGATGCATGTTACCTAAATTAGTTTTATGTTATATTCCTAAAAATATTAAGATTCTCAGTGGACTGAATTCGAAATAATTTTTTTCTGTTAAAATACTGCATGACAGCCAGTTTGACAACTTGTTATTATCACATAGTTACAGTGTCCGAGTGTCGATTTTCTTGATTACAGTTGTAGAAAATTTCAATGTTCTCTTGCGGTCCCAGAAAGTATTTTTTTTCCAACCCTTGCGCTAAAGCGAACTCTGAGTTTCAACTATGAAACCCTTTCTCTCGCCCATCCCTTTTAGCCATTACCACATCCCCAGGGGGTTGTCAAGGTGCGCTTCCCGATGATCGAGAAACCTCGGGGAAGAAACTGAGGAAGGGGGAGTGTCCTTTGAACATCAAGAACGTTACTATATACAAAGTTCCTTTCGAAACTTTTCCTTAAAAGGGTACTTGACTTGCTATTGTTTTCACCACTCAAGATAAAAGTCTTCGCGCTGCCATGTAATATCCTCTATATATCCATAGCGAAATAATGAAAATTGCAATTACTATGAAAATTGGATTTCCATACTATTTCCATGACGAACTGGCCATACTATATTCCCATAGTAAGGAGTTGAAAAAAGCTATTCCAGTGTTTGTTATACTTTTCAGGTAATTGCATCATGCACAGACGCTGGGTCAAGGGCTAAGGTAACACAGTTGGTGGAAACATATACTAGTCAAAAAAGTCTGAGGTGATTTCAATGTGGTGCTATTCATGCATGAGCCACGCTTGCTTATGGAAACATATACTAGTCAAAAAAGTCTGAGGTGATTTCAATGTGGACTGTGGTGCTATTCATGCATGAGCCACGCTTGCTTATGGAAACATATACTAGTAAAAAAAGTCTGAGGTGCTTTCAATGTGGTGCTATTCATGCATGAGCCACGCTTGCTTATGGAAACATATACTAGTCAAAAAAGTCTGAGGTGATTTCAATGTGGTGCTATTCATGCATGAGCCACGCTTGCTTAACACAGTAAGATGGAAAATCTAGTGGCATTGGAGGAAACTATGGCTGAGCATATAGTCGACAGAATAAGGTCAGGGAACTCGATGCAGACATAATAGACCTCATTATCTAGGTTTTTGTTTTGGTTTATGCAAGAAATGGTCAGTTCATCATCACGTGTGTATTGTATTCTCGCTAGAGCAACCAATAGCAGTGTGTTGGTTTAATTACTCAGTCGTGATATTACACAATGGTTAGATCAAAACATAGCTATTGGTTGCTCCACGGAAAATGCAATACACACGTGACGATGAACTGACCATTTCTTGCATAAACCAAGACATAAACATAGATAATGAGGTATATTATGCCTGCATCGGGTTTCCTAACTTTCTTATGCTATTGACTATGGGCTGAGAAGCCACTGTGTGGGGGTGTTGAGTGGGGTGAGGGAGACCCCCTTGACTCAGGCCCGTGAAAGAGGACGTGTCTGCGAACTAGAGAGGTGTCCGTTTATAGCGATGTAGAACTTCATTCTATACCAAATGCAACACTTCCTGCAACAAAAATCGTGTCTGCGAGGCAAGTCGCATAGTGTAACAGCGCCTTTAATGGACCGCATTCCCCAATTAACCAAAATTTTGATCTCAACAAGTCTAGACAAAATTCCATTATAGCATGAAACCACTTTTCCAAAATTTTGATCTTAACTAGCCTAAAGGCTAAACAAGAATTTCATCACAGCTTGAAAGAGCATCACAAAATTAGCAATATTCCAAAGTTTCGTGGAAAAATGTTGTAAAATGCGGATAATACAGCCTTGCGAAGTTTGTGATTTTCAGTCATTTTAGATTACGCACAGAAGTGGTAATCATTTCTCGCCGGTTTGTAATCTAAAATGACTGAAAATTGCAAATTTCGCAAGGCTATATTATCCGCATTTTACAACATTTCGCAACGAAACTTTGGCCAATATTACTAATTTTGTGATGCTCTTTCATGCTATAATGGAATTTTGTCTAGACTTGTTGAGTTCAAAATTTTGGTTTATTGGGGAATGGTCCATTAAGGCCCATTTAAACTTGAAATTTTCGCTGCGATTTTCTTCCTCTGCTGGATGTGAACGAGTGATTAAGTCATGAATGTTCAGATGAGGGTACATGTACTCCGAACATTCGTAACTCATCTACTCTTTCACATACATCAGAAGGAGAAAACCGCACTAGAAGTCGAGCTTTTAGAGAGGTGTTCGATGGTATTTTAATTTTGTATACGTGCGTTGGCGTGAGGCTTGAAAAGGAGGGACGTCCCTCTTTTAAAAATATGTCAGTGTTCTAATTAATTAGCCCCTTTCAGAGGTGACCTACCACCAGGCGAGCTAGACATAGCAAATTTACATTAAATTAATATTGATTGAATAAAAGAACATACCAGACCGACCGTAACGTGAAATGTCGACTCATGGAATACCAGAAATTTTTCACATGTGAAATCTGTTTGGAAAAATTAAATCATTAAATTAAATGATGTTGAATTAAATGCAAGCCTGCAGTTTGCAGACTAAACTAAACTAAAGTACATTGCTTCATTGAAACTGGATGGCTATGCCTCTATCAGTACTAAAATGTTCTTCCTACAGTTCCAGTAAGTTTATTGAGTTCAGTCTCACTCATTGGTGAGCGGATTTTCCAACGGGCAATTGGCCAATTGATGGATCCGAGCTGTACCTACGATTTAAACGTCCTTATCCGAGAAGAAGGTAATATAAGTAATTGGGAAAACAAAACGTCTCTTTATGAATCTTATTGGGTTAAAAAAAACATTAGTGTTTCTTAGGAAAAAACTTATTAAAATGTATGGTACTGCATGTATTGCACCGAGAGAGCCTGGGTATGAGTCCCTAAATACTGACATAATCAACACAAGACCCACATAGTAAGAAAGAGCGCGTTGACCCTTACAAAATTTAAAAGTTTGATGTTAATCCGGTCAATATTGATCGAGATGCAATCATTCAAAAACTCCAAAACGTACTAAGAAATATATGGTCATCCGGGCAAATGTCCAAAAAATCCATACACATTTCTTAGTATTTTTTGTTTTTGAATGGCTGTATCTTGATCAGTATTGACCCAATTAACATCAAACGTCGAGATTTTGTAAAAGTTCTTACTATGTGGGTCTTGTGTTGATTAACACAATATTTAGGGACTCATGCCCAGGCTCTATCGGTTTGAAAGTAGACAATATCATTCTTTCAAACTGAATTGGTGTCAAACAAGGTCAACATTTTATTTCACACGACAATATATTCCTTTTCATTTCCAGGTGGCATAGTGTTTAGTCTATCTATCTTTCACCTTTGCGTTTGAGGTTTCATTCTTCCAACATGTCTAAATAGACAGTTTCATCTGAATTGCTCAATTTGCATGTTAGACTAATTTTTGATTTAGGCAAAAAAAAGTAACTTTCCGTAAAAAGCGTATTAAAATTAGTAAGATTGCAAAATTTGGTTGCGAAATGTTGTAAATTACAGAAAATATAGCCTTGCGAAGTTTGCATATTTTCAGTATATTTATATTACGTGCGGAAATTGTTACCATTTTTGAGCCGAAAACATTTTTAATAAAGTTGTAGATTTAAAGGTGCGGTACAGTCCGTATGTAAACATGAAAGAACATCACAAAATTAGTATTATTCCAAAGTTTCGTTGCGAAATGTTGTAAAATGCGGATAATATAGCCTTGCGAAGTTTGCCATTTTCAGTCACATTTTGTATTACGCACAGAAGTGGTAACCATTTCCCGTTTGTAATTTTGAACTCATCAAGTCTGGACAAAAATTTCATCACAGCTTGAAAGAGCATGACAAAATTAGTAATATTCCAAAGTTTCGTTGCAAAATGCTGTAAAATGCGGATAATATAGCTTTGCGAAGTTTGCAATTTTCAGTCATTTTAGATTACAAACGGGAAATGGTTACCACTTCTGTGCGTAATACAAAATGTGACTGAAAATGGCAAACTTCGCAAGGCTATATTATCCGCATTTTACAACATTTCGCAACGAAACTTTGGAATAATACTAATTTTGTGATGTTCTTTCATGTTTACATACGGACTGTACCGCACCTTTAAATCTACAACTTTATTAAAAATGTTATACTACATGATAGCTATATCAGTTCTGAACTGTTCTCTTTAGAGGTCTAGCGTGCAAGAGCCATCACTATATATATAATTGTCCGTCCGGTATTACTGCAGGAGCATTCCTAAACTAAACTAACTTTATTAGTCATACTGGATAACTCGGTTAGTTCTAAACTGTTCTCCCTAGAGGTCCAGTAAAGGCCACGCCTTATTCATCAACCTGAACAGTATAGACGAGAAACCTGAACAGTATATCGACGAAGTTTATTTTGACTGTATAATTCTATAGCATAGATTCTGTATCAAAATAAATAAACACTCGTAGATTAACAAGCACGTGCAATTTTTTAATCTCCGGTCTAATCAGATGATAAATATTTATGTAGCTCAAAAAGTATGAACAATTAAATAAATAAATCATATTTG